ACATTAATCTTGGCACAGTAAAGACAAAGTGCATCTGATTCTCCACAGGGCCCTTCCTTTTCTGTTTTACAGTCATACTCATTCTTTCCAGCCCTTCCTGATTCCTTCCAGCCTTTCATGTTTTCTATTAAACCCTTGTTAGCTTGCTTTACTTCAGAGCTGAGGACTGAACTCAGGGCTTCTCACATACTAAGCTCATGTTCTGCTGAGTGACATTGTCAATCAAATCCTTGCTTTAATTTTATATTTTATGTATATTCGAGACAAGGTCTCATGTAGTCCAGGTTGGTTTCCAATCCACTTGCCTCCAACTCCTGAGTGCTGATCTTACAGCAGTGGACAATCGTCCTGGGCTTGCGCAGCCCTTTCTAATGCCCTTTTACCTGGTGGTGTACAGCTGTTCTCTTACTCACATCCGTCTGTCCTGCACCTTTCACCACTTTCTAACTTCTGATTACCCCGAAGCATCCAAACCCCACTTGCAGATTTGCCAGCAGTCCCTGGTACAGCCCTATAACCTGTCCCTGCCTCCTGACTCACCATTCCGCAAATTGCCAAGGCCAGTGACAAAAACAGGCAATACAAGTTGGGCTGGTGGCTGAGATCTGTAGTCCCAACATGCAGGAGGCTGAGGCAGGAGCATTACTGAGTTCTAGGCCAGTCTGGGCTACAGAGCAAGTTCCACACCAGTCAGGACATCGATGTGAAGTCCTGTATCAAGAAGATTGGTGTAGGGGCTGGGGAGATGGCTCAGTGGGAAAAGTATTTGCCGCCGAGTTTAGATGCCCAGCAGCCACACAAGAGCGGGGTGTGCCGGCAGGCACCTGCCACTCCAGCACTGGAGGGGTGGATGCTGGTGGAGCCACATGTCCTGCCAGTCCAGCCAGAACAGCAAGCTTCAGGGTCAAAGAGAAACCGTACCCCCAAAATAAAGTGAGGAGTGACTAAGGAGAATGTCTGGAGTCACCCCGCCATACACAAGCAAGTGTGCATGTACACACACACACACACACACACACACACACACAGAGCTAGGGACTTAGCCCAGTGGGTAGCGTGCTTGCCTGGCACGTACGAAGCCCTGTTTGACTCCCATCACCACATAAGAACTGGGCATGGCATTGTTGAATGCCTGTAACTCCAGCACTCTGGATGTAGAGATCCAAAAATAGATCGACATCTTCAGCTACATACGCAGTTTGAAACCAGTCTGAGGTGTATGACACCATGTCTCAAAACAATAGCTAACACATGTGGGTGGGCGAGTGCATTCAGGCTGCATGTTGGAAAGTCGCAAATGTGATAGCAGGCAAAGGATCAAGTCTTCTCCCATGCAGTCTTCCATCTGGGGACATCTGAGCCCATCTATGTCCAGGGGATATATGTCCAGGTGGGAAATGACTCCCCATAGGAGTCAAGGAACTATGAAACCTCAGCCACAGAGAAGCAGCCCCTGGGTGACGCCAAGGTGAGTGACCAGGACAAAAGGGACATGGTTTAGCACAGCCACCATCTTTACAGGAAGCCGAGGCCTCGGGAGGGCAGGCCCTCCTTCCTGGCAGTTTTTGCAGAGCAAGAACAGGGGCCTGTGGGCCCCCAGATGAACCTCTGTGTTGTGGAATATTTGTTTAATTCTGCAAAGATGTGTTGCATTTGTTTAATTATGTAAAGATGTGTTGCTGTTTTACCTTGCCTCCCTAAGGCACCTGATTGGTCCAATAAAAAGCTGAACAGCCAATAGCGAGGGAGAAGGTATAGGTGAAACTTTGGGCAGGGAGAGTGAGTAGGAGGAGGAATTGAGGCTCAGAGGAGAAAGGAAGAAAGAAAAAGAGATGCCAGGGGCCAGACAGACAGACACAGAGGAAGCAGGAAAGTAGGACATAGAAAGTGAAAGAAAGCCCCGAGGCAAAATGTAGATGAATAGAAACAGGTTAAATTAAGTTAAAAGAGCTAGTGGGACCAGCCTAAGCTGAGGCCGAGCTGTCTTTATTTGGGAGCTGCTAAGTGGACCAAAGAAAAGGCCAACTACACCCCCGGAGTTGTGCTGCTGTGCCCACCAGGGTCTGGGGATGCAATGAATCCAGCAAAGGCCCAGCCTGCAGGGCTCACAGGCAGTTAGCCAAGCTGTGATAGTCACCTGTTGGACCTGCCACTGAAGCACAGAGCAGTGGGAGCCGAGCAACGGGGCCCAGGGAGAACTCTGCCTACACTCTTGGCTGGGGACTCATTTGGAAGCGACACCCGTGTCACCCAGAGGTCTAATCAGCTGGCACAGCAGTCCTGATGGCCCATGCGCCACGAACTCAGCTCTGGAGATCAGAACTAAAGTCAAGGTGGATGCCCTTAGGCTGTGTTCCTCTCCAGAGGCTGAGAGAGGACCCATCTCTTCCCTTCCACGCTGGCTGGCAAGTCCAGACCCTCGTATGTACAGGAAGTCTCCCGATCCTTCTGGCAGTAAACTGAGGGCTATTTGCAACTTCTGGCTCCAGCACTCCTCAGCTCTAGCCCACTTCCTGCAGTGACAGCTGCAAGGATGGGCTCGTTTGTAGGGCACGTCGGGTTGGGTGATCTCACCAGGCCACCCGGATAATCCAGGATGATCTCCCAGCTCAAGACCCAGAACCTTAATCACACCTGCAAAATCGCCTTGGGCCATTTAAAATGACTTCATGGGTTCCTGGGATCAGAGAAGTGACATTATCCTGCCTATCACATCATCTTGATTTTGTAGTCCCCAAAACTGAAACTATCCTGGATGACTGGCTAAGGTCCCCCGGCAGTATCCAGACTCAGCCCACCCCATCACACACCAGACAGGACACAAGATACGGCTCCGAGCACAAAGCCTTACTTTGTGGGACATCATTTAAGGACCCCTGACTTGGGGAAAGAAAGCCAGTGAAAGGTGAGAGGTTCCAGGCCTGTGAGGATGACTCCAGCCGTGACAAGTCAGTGGGAATCTTAAGCCCTCTTTCAGGCCCCCAAGCCAACTGCCCAGCCCACCACCCCCACTTCCTCTGAGACGTTAAGCCTCCTTAAGGGCTCAGACCAGGGTCTGGGAATTTATAGCCAAATGGCTTCCCTCCAGCCTGAACAAACTCAAGACAGAACTATGGTTTCGAGCAGTTCTTCTGTGACAGTGTGTCTGTCATCTATTTCTTGAGTTCCAGGGGCACAGAAATAGGAGAGAACTAATCCTTGGCAGAGCAGTGATGTTACCATAGAAACTGGAACAAAACTCTTCTGGTACTGCATGGCTCTGAGATCAAGGTATAATCTGTGCCCATGGACAAAACAGGTCCGTGCAGCCGAACCTCTTCTGGAGGCAGAGGCTTGGCAAGGAGGGCCCCTGCCACCCTACCCACCTCCATCACTTCTACGGTGAGGAAGCTGACTGACAGCCAGCTTTCACCCCACCCTGAACTGCTGTGAACAGGAAGGGCTGTCAATGTGATTGACAGTGTGAAGGCAGGCACAGCTATGAGACCACTTGGCCAAGACTTTTGAGGTCATCCCTTCATTTTTATCCATTTATTTAGTGGGCTTTTGTTGTTGTTGTTGTTGTCGTTTTAAGAGATAGTGTCCTTGCTGGGCAGGTGTCAGTGTATGCCTTTAAATCCAAGCACTTGGATGGCAGAGGCAGGAGATCTCTCTGAGTTCACAGCCAGCCTCATCTACAAAATGAGTTCCAGGACACAGGAAAACCCCATCTCAAAAAAAAAAAAAAAAAAAAAAAAAGAGAGAGAGAGAGAGAGAGAGAGAGAGAGAGAGAGAGTATTCTAGTATTCTTACTATGTAGCTTAGGTTGGCCTGGAAATCAGGATTCTCCAGCCTCAGCCTCCAAGTGCTAGGACTACAGGTATGGGCCACCACACTGGGCCCTTGAGATCCAGCAGTAGCATGCCCCTCCTGACCAATGCCCCAAGCTGTGCCCACCTTGTAGCACTCTCTGCCTACTTTGGCAACAGGTTCAGGCAGCTGGTCCATAATCCCTTCAACCTGAAGACACCAAAGTTGGTTTGTGTTGAGAGCAATAGCCCCTCAGGAGGCAGGGCATCCTTTCCTACCCTTAGGGAAGCATCCTTGACCTTGGGTATATAGGCATCACCAAACACCATGCTGAAAAGCCAGGAGTAAAGGGGATGGAGGGGAGCCAGCTCCACCTGAAGCTTTCAGAAAACAAGCCTTCAGAAGGGCACCAGAAAGGTATGTTCCGACATCTAGGGTCTAGAACCACAGCCCTCAGCTCTCACCTGCCATTTCTGTCCACTGTTCCAGCCCCAGGTCCACAGGGAATACTGTCCCTGTGTCTATCTGGAAGTCAACCAAGTCATTGAGCAAAGCATGAAAAGTGAGGTAAAGCCATTTCACCCTCTGGGGGGTTGAGGGGGCCACAGTGCTGCTCCTCCCAGATCCTGACAGGATTCCAGCTCGGTAGGTGCCGCTCCCTCTGCACCACATGGCTAGAGAGGCCATGTGTCTCCAGCTCCCCTTACCCCTCCCCCAGGCTCCTCCTGAAAATACTGAGGAGGTACAAGGAAGACCACTCAGCTGATAAGCATTTAGAGTGGCTGAAAGAGGCCCTGGACTTGACAGAAAGGGGTAGCAATGCCCAGCATAAAATGCCTTGGGCTCCACTACACCCACTACTTGCAAGGTGCTGCTCATGAAAGACAATAAAGGATCACAGCTACAGAGCTGGCCTTAAAGATGGAGCCCTGTGCATGCACACATGCACTTCCAGGGAGCCGATGAACTTGGTACAGGCAAGGGAACTGGAAGGGATCAGCAACAAGGTGGAGTGCTCAGTAACAAAGGTGTTTTCCAGAAACTGAGAGCCATTTAAATAAGTGAAGTGCAGCTGATATCCACCTAAGCCACCTCAGCACTGGGGCCTGCCCCAGCCAAGGTGTCCCTCCAGAGACCCCAATCCAACACCATCCTCAGTTCCTGGGTGTAGGCAGGAGCCCAGGGCAGGAGGGCACAATGTATTTCTGAGGCAAGGTTTAAATAAGACTTTATTGTTACAAGGGGGACCTGACAAGCAGAAGCAGTATTTGTGGTCCCAGCTGTCATCATGGAGACATTGAACGGTCATGATTGCAGAAGAGGTGACTGGAATTGAATGGCATGATCGGAGGGGAGGCCGGCCAGGAATGCAGGAAACATGATCAAGATGGGCTGGCCAGAGTGGTCTAGTCACAGGATGAGGGGAGGCCAGCCAGGAATGCAGGAAACATGATCAAGATGGGCTGGCCAGAGTGGTCTAGTCACAGGATGAGGGACCAGCTCCCTTCACTCCCGCTTCTTGTAGCTCTCCAGGTGTGACAGGACCCAGCCCGCAGGCAGGAGGCAACAGATGAAACAGGAAGTGAGCCCAACGGTGACATCCTACATAGAACACAAGAGATAAGGATCCCTCAGGGCAACGATTCTTAGGTACACCCAAGTTTTGGTCCTTAGGCATGGGAAAGCCCCTCGGGAAGACAGACTAAGGAAAGTCCAGCAGACCCACACTAAAGAAAGCAACCTGGGCCTGAGTTCAATCCTCAGCATATGTGAGGGAGGGACAGACAGAGACACAGGGAGACTGTAAGGAGGGACATTGTTTCAGACCAAGCCCATGCTCAGCCTTGATATAAAGGTCCTTTTTTTTTTATTATTATTATTTGTCTGCAGGGAGGGGAGATGCACAGGCAAGACTCTTACTATGCACCCCAGGCTTGACCTTGAACTTGAGATGCTTCTGCCCAAACCCTAGCCCTGGAATTACACTCTTGTGCCACCATGCCTACTGAGGGGTGTGTGTGTGTGTGTGTGTGGTTTTAAAGATTTATTTATTTCTTATGTATACAGTGTTCTGTCTGCACATATCCCTGCGGGCCAGAAGAGGACACCAGATCTCATTACAGATGGTTGTGAGCCACCATGTGGTTGCTGGGAATTGAACTCAGGACCTTTGGAAGAGCAGTCAGTGCTCTTAACCTCTGAGCCATCTCTCCAGCCCCTCTGTGTGCTGTTTTTGATGTGGGTGGAGGAGAGCTTGACGTCTAGCATCTCCCATAACTGCTCTTCTTCTAACTTTCATTTTTTTGAGACTGAACCTGGAACTCGCTGATCTGGCTAGACAAGCTAACAGCGGGCTCCAGGGAGTTCCCTGCCTCTGCCCCTAGCAGCAATGAGGTTCAAGACCAGCTGGGTGTCCAAACTCAAATCCTCATGCTTGTGAGGCAAGTATTTTTACCAAATAAGCCATTTCCCAAGGCCCTTGTTGTTTGTATATTTTCTTTCTTGTTTCTTTTCTTTCAATTGTTTGTTTCAAGACAGGGATTCTCTATGTAGCTCTGGCTGTCCCGGAACTCACTTGGAAGACCAGGATAGCCTTGAACTCAGAGATCCACCTGCCTCTGCCTCATGGGCGCTAGGACTAAAGGTGTGGGCCATCACTGCCTGAGTGTTTTTTCTTTTTCTTTTTTGGTTTTTCGAGACAGGGTTTCTCTGTGTAGCTTTGCGCCTTTCCTGGAACTCACTTGGTAGCCCAGGCTGGCCT